GGTTTTACCCCCATCAGCCAGAGAGGAGCAGCTGCGGCGCTGCCAGAAATGGCAAGCGTATTCCTGGAAAACAGACGGGAAAGACCCAGAGCGGGTCTCGGGCTGGGGGCTGCCCTTTCCAGGGGATCATGCACCAGCTCTGTTAGAATTCCTAATTATTTAGGCCCCTAATTTGTTTTGAGGAGTTCAACAATGAAGCAAACTTCTCTCCTGTTAAGAGCAACCCCGGAGCGGGTCTCGGGCTGGGGGCTGCCCTTTCCAGGGGATCATGCACCAGCTCTGTTAGAATTCCTAATTATTTAGGCACCTAATTTGTTTTGAGGAGTTCAACAATGAAGCAAACTTCTCTCCTGTTAAGAGCAACCGGAGTCCTCATTCGCAGGGAGTGAATAAATCTTCCCCTTTCTAAGATTATTTTTAGTTAATTTTTTTTGGTCTTGGCTTAGGTGCTGAGTGTCCTGGGAGGGCAAATACGGCAGGAGGTACCTACAGGGTTCGGAAGTCCTCCTTCCCCAGGGCCTGGAACTCCTGGCAGACTTTGTCCCGGACATAAGCTTTACCTGTAAGCGCAGAAAAAGGAAGGTCTGTGAGCAGGATTTGTGCCTCGGCTCACTCGGGTGCAGCCTGGGTGGTGGCCAGGGAGCCGGGAGCCGGCGAGCCTGCATCTGCTGGGGTTTGGGAAAATGCCGGCTTTGCTTTCCCCTGCAGTCCTGCCCCCTCTGCCCTTCTCCTCGGGTGGCAATAGAGCTCGTTTCCAGCAACCTTTCCCCTTGCAGAAAAAAAAACAAAAACAAAGCAGCACGGGTCTGCTTAATTGAGTCTCCTGCGGAAAACAACTCGTGTCTGCTGCTTTTTGCCAGGGAAAATGATCATTTGGGGAACAGCCTGTTCCCACTTGACCCCCTGTTTTGCTCTCGCTTTCCGCTTCCCTCCCCTGCAGCAGCAGCGGCGGCGGCGTGGGAATGAGGGATGCTACGCCACCACAAAACGCGGTCCAAAGGCTGCGGGGCTCTTGCTTTAGTCACTCGAGGATTGTTATTTTCTCACACGGTTGCTTCTTTTCTCGAGCCAGGCTTGGTGGTAGGCCCTGGGGAGATGGTGGCACAAGCGCTGCAGACCAGCAAAGGCTGCTGCTGCGCTGCCGGCCTCGGAGAAAGCACCGCCGGTACCCGGGCTGCTGCTCCGGCTCCGCAGTCAAAGAAAGGGGCAGGGGGAAAACCCCTCCCTGTAGCTGGGAGACCTCTAGGTAAAACATTAGGTCCGTTCGCCCCTTGTCCAAATGGATGTTTCTGTGCGTTTGGAACGCGTGGTGTTAGTTTTTCTGGCAGGGTTTGGAGACCGTAAGGGCTGGGAGCTCTGGAGACGGGACCATGGAGGCCAGGAGCACCCGGCAGCGAAGACACCCCCGGCCACTCTCTCATCCCTGGAAAAACGCTATCGATTTTTGCTACAAACAGCATTGACTAGACTTTGGTACCGGCAGGGTAAATACTGATACCAGTATTTACTGGTATTACAGCGCGGAGCGGGGTCACCTCCCCAAAAGCAAGGGGTTATGTGCCGTTACACTGACGGTCACGCTGCTTCGGTGGGAAAGAAAGGGCGAGGGGGCATTTGCAAGGCTGGCAGCGCCAGGAAAAAAGGGGAAGCCGTGGTAAAAGGCAATTCTCTTTCCTCACAGGAACAGGGGCTGTCGGTCCTGCTGTAAGTGCCATCTTGCTGCATTTCTTTTCATTTTCATAAAGCGGTATGGGAGAAGTAAGTTTCGAGGGGGTTTTTTGGCAGGTCCATGATTCCCTGCGGAGCTGTGAAGGCAGCAAGGGGAGGCACAGAGCATCATTTCCATCCGAGGGGTGGGTTTTACAGTGAAATGGTGCTCGTGAAGGGGGTCGGAAAATCTTATTTTCCCTTGCAAAGGGAAGAGGCCGGGCCCTGCGACGCCATCCTCTCCTTCTCCCTCCCCCCCCGACCCCAGCCCAGCCTCTTCCCCTCCCCACTCCTCCAGCAAAGGGGGTGGCCTGGGTACCGAAACGTCATCCCACGCCTCCCCTTTCTTCTCTCTGATTCCTGCCCAGCGACTTGGCAGTGGGCTGGGGAGAGGGCAGGCCACCGAAAACCGCCGGAGCTGACGGACCCTAGCCTCGTACCCCTCGTCCCCGAGGGAGAGCAAAGCCCCAGGCGCATGATAAATACCTCGGTGCTCGGCACGTGCAGTGGCTAAAAGCAGCAGCAGGGCGAGAGCTGCCTTCATGTCAGGGTTGGTTTCCCTCCTCCTGCCAAAAAGCGGCGCTGGGAAACCCATCCCAGGGTTTATATGGAGGTAGTGCCAATTGCCGGGTGAATGATTAATCCTGGCGGCGGGGCAGAGGGCGAGCATCCTTGGCCTGCCTGCCACAGCCTGGGTGCCAGCACCTCCAAAATCGGGCTGATTTTAATCATTAACTCAGCAAAATGGGGATGCGTTGCTGTGGGACCGCAGGCAGGGTCCTCCTGCCCATGACGGATGATGGGCGCAACATGAGCGACAAGAGGAGATGTGCCGGGGAAAGCGTCCCGTGCATCCCACGAGTGCAAAGCCACGTGTGGTCAGGCCAGTAAATGGTCCTCCCAGCCCCGTGCGAGGAAGGAGCCCGCGCTTTTGGGGTGCAAGCCACCAAACTCTCCCAGGGCGGTGATTAGGTGGGGATATCTGCTCCGCGAGGCGATGGTGGCCCGACGCAGTGCCCTGCTCCACCGTGACCATGTTTCACCGGTGCTGGGTCAGGCTGACTCCCACCCGAAATGACCGATGGCCGGGTGTCGTGCACGCACGTGCCCGAAGGTTTGCTGCTTTCTGAGAGCATGCATTGCTTTTTCCCCTTCTTGGGCTGCCAGCGGAGCCCCGGAGCCCCCCGGGAGCTGCAGCAGAAGGGGCGGCGGGTGCTGTACGTGGCACTGGCGAGGTGCCGGGCTGGCACTCGGGCTGGGGGAAAGAGGGACCGCGGAGCCACCGGGGTCAGGAGCAGCCTATTTATTCAGCCTTAGGAAGGCAGACGGCGGGCATCGCGTCCCGAGGCTGCTGCAGAATAAATATCTAGCAAATACCGGCCCGGGTGAGCGGTGTTTGCTGAAGCAACCGGCTCCTCTCGGGTGGCTTCCTGCGGGCGGACAGACCGGTGCCGCCCTGGGGCTTTTTAAAAGCTCGGTCACGACTAAAGCAACCAAATCTTAAATATCCCTTTTTCCAGGCAAGGATACAGAGTTTGCAGCTGTTTGGGGCAAGTGGCATCTGAGCCGGTTGCTGCTCATCTTGGGCCGCCCTCCAAATCTTGCAGTGGTGGGCTTGTTTCTTGGGACAGTCCTGCAATAGTTGTGGTCTAGAGCTGGCTCTGGGCGAAAACAGAGGTGACACCGGGACTGTGTGCCCATCCAGATGCGTGGGGAAGTGGGGTTTCTTGCTTTTACTGGGACTAAAGGTGCTTTTCCCCTGCGAGCAGCCCCACCTAGGTGAATGTGCCCGCCGAGATGGTCTTCAGTACGGGGACAATGTTTTTAGACCTGGGGAATAATAAAACCAGAAACAGTCGCATAGTGTGGCTGCTCGGGAGGATTCAGGGCCATTAGAGATCAGAGGAGGGTTTGATTACACTGTGCTTGCAGAAGAAAACTGGGTAATGGGCTATTTGGGTATAAACACAGATCTTATGTCTCTTCTGTGACCACTCTGTATGAGTCAAGCCGTAATTTCCCAGCAGCTTGCTGTTGAATCGCCACCTATTCAGCCTGTTTTGAACAAAAACCCGGGCATGGGTTAAACCAGATGAAAGATAATTGCTTGTAAAATCACTGCAAACCAGGGGGATGCTTAACAGCTCATCAGCCGCTGGAGTGGGATGTGAAAAATTATGAAAACTGGTGGTGTGCTAGGCTGAAACCTAGCTGAAACCTAGGCTGAAACCTAGA